AGTCTGTAATTCTTTCAACTTGTTAAACGCTTGAAACATTAAAAGTCTGTAATTCTTTCAACTTGTTAAACGCTTGAAACATTAAAAGTCTGTAATTCTTTCAACTTGTTAAACGCTTGAAACATTAAAAGTCTGTAATTCTTTCAACTTGTTAAACGCTTGAAACATTAAAAGTCTGTAATTCTTTCAACTTGTTAAACGCTTGAAACATTAAAAGTCCGTAATTCTTTCAACTTGTTAAACATTTGAAACAAAGATGATGTTTGTAGTCACTTTAAGGGTAGGTTTGATATATTGGAGAAGAAGAATGGTAAGTGTAGTGAATACCTTCTGTGACACTGTTCGAAACACATTGCCCTGTCTAGACTTTCCTGTATATAGCTTGTATCACCTTCTGTGACACTGTTCGAATTGCATTGCCCTGTCTAGACTTTCCTGTATACGGCTTATATTACCTTCTGTGACACTGTTCGAAACACACTGCCCTGTCTAGACTTTCCTGTATATGGCTTATATTACCTTCTGTAACACTGTTTGAAACACACTGCCCTGTCTAGACTTTCCTGTATATGGCTTATATTACATTCTGTAACACTGTTCAAAACACGCTGCCCTGTCTAAACTTTCCTGGATACAGCTTATATTACCATCTGTAACACTGTTTGAAACACACTGCCCTGTCTAGACTCTCCTGGTTACAGCTTATATTACCTTCTGTAACACTGTTTGAAACACACTGCCCTGTCTAGACTTTCCTGGATACAGCTTATATTACCTTCTGTAACACTGTTTGAAACACACTATCCTGTCTAGACTCTCCTGTTTATATTATATAAAGTTATATTTATGTTGGTTGATTCTTCAGTAATTTAGTTTTTCTCTAATTTGTTTGAAAAGAGGAAACTTGGATAGCATGTCTTTAAGAATATTTTTACAAACAGTACATAGATATGCAGGTTTATGACCAGGTGTTGGCATGTATTTGATTGATAATTGCATTGAAATTTTTGGATTCAGATATATACAGTTAATTGTTATTTTTTTAATACATCACTCTTAGTGAAAGATGTAATTTGTTTATACATCCTATACTGACGTGTAATCAGCTCTGACGTTTCTTCGAAGTATCTGTCAGATCATCTGATATCTAGACAACAACTGTATTTTATGCTGTTGATGTTTTCCTCGTATTGTTTGTATAAGGCACCTCCAGAGATGATGTGGTCACATCCTGGGTTGGTGATCCACGTGGCAGCTCAGATTGCTGAACTCAGACCAACAACTTCTCTTAACGACGTTCTGGAAATTGTCCGTAAGAACACGAGGAGAATTTATGGAATATAGTGTTATTCTGTTGAGTCGTTCCCAGGTAAACACATTTGTATTAAAACAATAATCATAAGCTCTTGGGCTAGAACATATTTTTATGTTCGTTCATAATCCTTTAGAATAAAATTCAAAATTATTATTACATGGAAAAAAACGTAAACACACAATTTAAGGACAACGAGGGACCTGTTGGTCCATCTAGGCTGTCCTATCCACTAAACTAAACTTATTATTCAAATATTTATCAAGCCTTCTCTAAATTAAGTGCATCTAGCAATATTGATTTAGATAACATTGTAATGTATATATATGTTTCAAGCAAGTATCTTGTGTGTGTGTATACATACATTCATTCATATGTCTGTAGGCAGATTTTGTTAAACAAGACCGATGTCTGTAGGTTTACTTTCTTTTTAGAATTCTTCTCAAGAAGTCGATAAGCCGTCTTAAGGTTGTTAGAACAACGGGTAAAAGTTGTAACTAGTGATGAGTTGACCGACGCGTTTCGAATGCATTCTGCTTCCATTATCAAGGCTGAATGTTGTGTGTCATATGTCTGTATATATATATATATATATACACACACACACACGCACACAGATGTAGTCTAAGATAACCAAGTATACTTACGGCTTTTTACTTATTTTGTTCTATTAACCCTTTATGGACCAGTGAGCCCCTTTCTGGTGTTGAGCACACACCTACATATCAACCAGTGAGCCCCTTTCTGGTGTTGAGCACACACCTACATATCAAATTTCAAAATTTAAGTAGAAATAATGTTGACATTTTCAAAAACATATTTTAGGATTGATATTTTGAAACATTTATTTAGTGTAATTTGTAAAGAAAAATGTTCATACTTCACATCTTTGCACAGCATGTCAATTTATTTAGAATTTTTCTGCCCATCCTAAAGCATAAGTTTTTATTTACAAAGAATCTACTCTCTCTCTCCCTTAAGAATACAGTTAACTAAATCTTGTTTCTCTTGTGATCACCTTTCTCTGTATTGATTTATTATTACTTGTTCTGAGGTCATAACAGGGTGGGAACAATTACTAATGAAGAACAGCTTTGAAAATAGCAACAGGCAAAGTTTAAATACCATTGTGTATTGAAGATTATAAAGTACACTGGATGCCGCTTATTGTAATCACTTCGGAACACAAGCAATAACTGAATGATAACGTTAACCGATGAAATAAAAATTCAGCAGTTAAAGTAATGTTTATTGATATAGGGTAGCAAACATAGCACCTAAAAGTTTGAAAGCTGGATTTTTATGATTATTGACATATTTCAAAACAATTAAAACAAGAATTAGAAAAATTCATTTAAATTTGACTGTTTACTATTTTTTTGGAGCAATTCATTAATAAAACTTTCATGTTCATACTGTTTATGAAACTCCTGATCTGTGCTGGTGTGAGAACACTTGGTGTACAGCACAGATCAGGTGAGTTTCACAAACAGTATGAATATGTACAGATAATAAAGATGTGTGCGAACACTTGGTGTACAGCACAGATCAGGTGAGTTTCACAAACAGTATGAATATGTAACGATAATAAAGTGGTGTGAGAACACTTGGTGTACAGCACAGATCAGGTGCATTTCACAAACAGTATGAACATGTAAAGATAACAAAGTGGTGTGAGAACACTTGGTGTACAGCACAGGTCAGGCAAGTTTCACAAACAGTATGAATATGTACATATAACAAAGTGGTGTGAGAACACTTGGTGTACAGCACAGATCAGGCAAGTTTCACAAACAGTATGAATATGTAAAGATGATAAAGTGGTGTGAGAACACTTGGTGTACAGCACAGATCAGGCAAGTTTCACAAACAGTATGAATATGTAAAGATAACATAGTGGTGTGAGAAGTTAAGGCATGTAGCATCTGCAGAAAAAATGAACATTATTTATTGGAAAGTTTAGAAGACTTGAAACAAACCACAGATCTGAGGGTTTTGTTATAGTTTCTTTAGACGTTCTTTTTGTTCCTGAAAATGTTTTCTTGTTAAATCATATTTTTTGGAACGTTATAGCAGTTTTCTTCAATGACAAGACATCAGGTAAGCCTCATGAAGTCTATGAAGCATGATCACAAAATGTTCCAGTAAAACAAATCCCTATTTGTTAAATATTGTTGTTAAGTTTACCATATTCAAACAATGAACTTGTAGTTTATTGAAAACATCTGTTTATTAGATATAAATTGATTTGACCAACAATATTAGCAGCAAAACTATTGTTACCTAGACTGACCTATCACCATTTTGAAAAGACTTAGGTCACCTATAAATCTTTGTCAATTTAGGTGGTATTTTTTTACAGTTTATAGCTTGAAATAACGATTACCTCAATCAGAAGAAAAACGTTAAATTTCAAACTGATTGTATATATAAAATTAAACTATCTGATCAACAATAAAAAAACCAGAAATTCTACAGCAAAAGGAAATATTTTAGTGTTTTTTCTTTCAAAGTGACGTATTACATTAAAATAAAGACTATACATGTTTGTGCTATAGCTGTGCAAACACAATAGACTAATGAAGTGATTAGTTTTAAGACACTACTAAGCACTTTAATACTGATTTCCTCAGCTTTTTGGTGTTAATCATAACTAATTGTATATGTTTTTCTCCAAATATTATCTGTCTCATCCAATACTGACCTTCAGGAAATGTTCTGTCCAATTTTGTGGTCTTACAAAAAATTTTTTTTAAAGTCAAGTATGTATTGGGAATCTCCTTCACTAATGTGATACTTTTCTGTATTTAATAGCGTCTTTAGCCATATGTGACTAGTCTCAGTTCCATTATTGTCTTGATTGCTGTAGTTCTCTGTCAACAGATTTGTTTTATTTTCTATTGATTTACCTGATCTTACTGTTAGTCCAATGTGAGTGGTGTCCAGTTGTTGTTCGGTATTCTGCTGTAATCAGAAATGAGTAAAAACCAAACTTTCATTGTTATCTCTACCAGTGTTCACTTTTTTCTCAGATATTATCCTGAAGTTGCACTAGTTTTCAAGTAGCTTCTGGTTAGTTTGTCAGCTTGTATTTTAATTTCAACTCTTCCTAATAATGTCATTTGTAACCGTATATACCAGTGGATCTCAAGATTGTATTTTAATTTCAACTCTTCCCAAGGATGTCATTTGTAACCGTATATACCAGTGGATCTCAAGATTGTATTTTAATTTGAACTATTCTTAATGATGCTATTTGTAACAGTATAATACTTACGGTACTTTCTGTCACTATTATCTCATCAGTTTAAAGAGATTAGAGCCTGTTTTATGTCAATGTATTAGGAGTTCATACTTCATACCAAATATTTTTGTATTATTGAGGGATAAATTTTGAAATAAATAAATCTGTTTGGGTTTTAGTTAACTCTCCTTGTTTCTAGCTGTAAAATAATTATATAGTGTGCTTAAGTTTAAGATGAGTGAATATGTGCTTAAGTTTATCTTGTCATATTCACAAACTTATAGATTTATCACACACATTTTCAGTCTCGAACAAGTTTCAAATTCATGTATTGGTGTTAGAAATTGTTAATGATCCTTATAATGTCATCAGAATAGCTAATTCAGTATGTTAATTAGGCCGAGTAAAACTAATAAATTTCTGTTTCAGGTTGAATATGCTAACCGATAATGAAAGCTTGAAAAATGCTGTTCTTTGGTGAGTTTCTTAAGATGCGTGTTTTAAGGACAGTTTATTGAAATACATATTTAAAGTGTTCATTTTTATTGTCTTGTTATGTAGGACAGATGTATGAGGGTTATCTAAAACAAATATGGTAGATTGTTTGAAAAAACAACTGTTAATGTATCTAGCTAAGAACAAAATACTTTAAAAGTGTTATAAATTTTGATTTCAAACTGTATGACAATACTGTGTACGTTAGTTTTCTGTTAATGTTTTTATTATGTACCCAATTTTTGATAAATATCTTTGTTTCTGTTGTCATTCCATATCCAAAACCATGTGATATTGTTAGCTTTAATGTAAATGTTTTTAAAATGCCGAAATCAAAGACATTTAACACATATAGAATTGGAGTTTTTCTATCTCAGACAACCTTTGATTTCCATTGTTATCAAAAGCTATTCTTGAAGATGCTCATTGATATCTTAAACTTTGGTTGAAAAGTTTCTTAAGTAAGAGATCCGTGATATTGTTTCCAAGTTTTTTGAATTAGATATATGTCCATAATTTACTTTAAACTTTTTTGTGAAGTTATTATTACTTTTAAATTTTGAATCGACGTTTCTTAATTTGTGTGGTAAAGTTTCCACTAGTAATTATGTAACAAAGTTAGATAATGAGTTTAATAAATAATTAATATCGATGTTTTATATATTAAAGGATTTAAAGTTGTGTAAATATGAAATATTGATTTTAAATAATACACAAATGCTGATCATTCGTATTTAGACAACTTAATTACTTGGAAGTACTTGCTAAACAATTATGTGAAGTTAACATAAAAGTTTGTTAAATTCGTATCGTCATAGTTGCTTTAAGATATTTTACTGTGAAAAAATCAAAGGACTTTAACTAAATGTGTTTACTTGTAATGACATCATTAGTCTGTGAATTGTATTTGTGAAAATTAGTAAGTCAAATCCGTTTCTTTCAATGTATGTAAACATATTAAGTTCTTCGGTACACATTTTCCAGTTTTTAGATGTCTGAATTAAGTCTTGAAATTTAATGCTGACAAGTTAAATCAAAAGAATGAATAAGTAAAAACACATCCTCTTTCATTTTTAACGTGAGCACATCTACTAACAAAAAAGGATTCAAATAAATTTTCCATAATTTTTCAACTTCCTAAATATGCTGGTGATATTTCTTACTTATTTTTTGACCGAGCTAAGTTAGCATGGATGTTTTGGCAGAGATCTTTAAGACGTAAAAACATGTTCTACTTTTCCATTAATTTAAAGTAATTTATCCTATTTTGATTAAAACTGACAAATCTGGATATTTTTTAGGTTATGTATGCTTGTATCATGCTGTTCCAGTTATTGAATAAAGAATGTTCAATAGTGAGAATTGTAGTAAATATTTAAAGGGAAAAAACCAGCAATATTAGTGATTTCAAAATAGTTTATTACATGGATACACGTTTCAACACTTTCATGTGTCCTCTTCATTCCAACATTACGTTGTACTGAGTATCTTCCACTGTTAGTGATTTTGTTTTTGGTTTAAACACACACATTCTGATTGGTAAATTACATTTTCAAGTTTATATGACCACATCTTAAAGCAGCAGGTAGAACGTTACTATTAAGTAATACTTGCACATTTGGGGAGGATAAATATATTTTAACAATTAGTCTTCCTCTGTTTAATCATGGTAAAGTTAAGTTCTCTGCTGTTTTTACGTTTAAAAACTTGCTGTCGTGTCATGAAGTATAAAATATTCATGTTTTATTTTTCTTGTGAAATAAGTTTGAGATAGGGTAAGGCAATTTTTTTAAGTCCTTAAAACTGCCTGTATGTCAATAGAGTCCACTTGCATATCATTCACAGTCAGATTCAAAAGTGAATATAAAAATATCCTGGTCACTTAGAAGTTGGGCTTAAAACCTGACACTGAATGTGCTTGCCCTTTCAGCTGTGGGGGTTTTATAATCTGATGAACAATCTCATAATTCATTAGTAAAAAGTTGGCAGTGGTAGTTGGAGCCTTCCTTCTAGTCTATCACTTCAAAGTTAAGGATTGCTAGTGCAGATAGCCCTTGAGTAGCTTTGCATAGAATTAAATAAACGATGTCGGAAGCAACACGTGCACACCTCCTAGTGTGGCCGACTTGAAATAGAAAGGTAATCACACAAGTATGTAATCTGCATGTGATTTAGTGCTAAATAAAGTTGTGGTGTAACGTGTTTAAACGTGTACAGGTATGTCACGCCTCACTACCACTGGTGAGGGAACTAAGTTCATGTTAGTAATAAACCATACTGCAGTCAGTAATCTGCATGTGATTTAGTGCTAAATAAAGTTA